CTGTATGTGATCAAAGTCCTCATACAAGAATGACCTTTTTTGCACCATAGACCGGTTTCACATAAAGATGCTTTTCGATGAAGGAGCATAGAAACATCCACGATGAACCGAGCTCTTGCTTGCACACAATTGTTGTCTGTGCCACTTGGCCAACATTTTAGCGGCTAAGATTGGGCTACGCTTGGAGCCACTACCTGTGTTCCTCACCGCCAGTCCTGAGGTACCGCTGGTATGAATCTTTTAAGGGGAGCAGGGATTGGAATAGCCGACGCTACTGATCCTCTTCCACAAAATAGCCTTTTATACGCTCTGACCCATACAAGCGTAAGCCATGTCGTCTTTCGCTGCTTCACAAAGCGTTTTAGTCTGGCGATGACGACATTGAACACAATTGGTTTCAAGACGAGAGTGAACCTCTGATTTGTTTCAATTTCAAAATGTTTCCATCATGGAAAATAACCGTAACATTTTTCCATTCATCTTAACATACAAATATGAAAACATGTTGATTTCCATATGTGAAAACAATGACACTTTCAGTCTTAACTTCAATGGTGACTGCGTGACATAACCGCTGTAAAATGTACAATACCAACTTTGAACAGGGAGGCCATATTTGGACTTTAATTACTTAAAGTTTAATGCTGCATATGTTTCATGTTCTCTTCATGCCACTTTTTGAGGCTGGTTCTTGTTAGAAATAACTTTTGCGGAAAAAAAAAGCACAAAGGCAAAGGAGCCTTTATCGTGATACTGACCCCAATATTTGGATTGGTTTCACAAAACTCTTCAGTGATGCTGTGAATGCCATTTTTTTTTTTCTGTAATATGCGGTTGTTCATCTGGCAGTGAAGCTGCCTTCATCTGATATCATGTGAACGTTCACACCTGTTTTTGTGACGGCTTGACTGCAGGAGGGGGAAGTGATGGGGAGGACGAAAAGCAGAAGCACACACGGCTTCCTCAGCAGCGCGCACCAGTCATTGTCTTCCTTTGTTGTTCTTCTTGTGTCACAGTGCATCATGACAACAACCGAAGCTATTGCTTCTAGAATGTCACTGAATGAACATAACTTCAACCAGAACATGATGCAGGTCTTTTCACATTCACATGACCCTTTTTTTTTTTTTTTTTTTTTTTTTTGCGGAAATCGAATGACTCACTTCCACACCGCGCCTGTGATGTCACCTGCATCATATGACCCAATGTTGGAGGTCAAGAGTTGCACTCAGTGTGGCATTAGATTTGCGCATGTGACAGAATATACAATATAAGATAAGCAAACCTTTATTTGTCTCACATATGAGAAATTCCCAGCCCTAGTTATTTGCCGCTCACCTTTCACTCTCAATAGCAGCACTCTGTGACATCACACTGATATATTGCTTCCGTGATGTCATCCGATGAGAGAGGCCGCTTTACGTGTGCATTGTGTACACAAAGATTGTTTTGTTGTTGAGTGGATTTTTAATAAAGGGCTGACTGGATTATGCTGTTTGGCCTTGTTGACGTAATTGGCAGCTGCACTAAGCAACGGCAACACAAAGGGAAGTTGAATTCATACTCCTCTTTATACCTGTATTCCATATATGGAATGTACTTCCCATGCCCTTTTGCTGTACACGTTCTCACTGAGTGGAGCGTTAAAGTGGGGGTACGGTGCAAACAATGCATTTCTTGCTGTCATGATGAAGTGTGAATACCATCCGGGTTATAGAATGAAGATTGTAACTATTGAATGTGTTGTGTGCAATTTATTACCTCTGCCATATCATTTTTTTTCATCAGCATTTGTTTCTGTTAGCATGGAGCACTACATTTTTTTCCCAAAATAGTTTGTGGAGAAGTGGGATTCGTATTAAGAAAGAAGCAATGAAATGTCACATTTTTATGACAAATTCAGATAGGAGGTGGTTTGGATCCAAATTACAAATTTTCAGCCTAGCTGGAAGTCTCTACGCTCTACCGTGTGGCATTCGAGTTACAGTTAGCTAGCGTATTTGCAAAAGTTGAATGACTTCAAATGTGACTGTAAAAAAAAAAAAAAAATACTTTGTAATGTATTTATAAAAAGAAGTGTGATGACGGATGATAATATTGTCCAAATGTCAGGTGACTCAATAATATCCTCCTAAGACATGGCTACTGCACTTGTAGTTAGAACGCTGTTTATGTTTTGGATGGCCTGGACGGGACATGTTAACCATGTTGTTGTCTCTGCATTGTGGACTTTAATGGAACGTGTATGTTTTCATCTAAGGACAATGGATCACAATAATCATGTCAAAATTACATCTTAACTTGCAGTTTTGTCGCATTTTATTGATTTATATTGAAATTACATTCATGAATAGACTAGATACTAAGGTCGTTGAGTGTGATGACGGATGATAATATTGTCCAAATGTCAGGTGACTCAATAATATCCTCCTAAGACATGGCTACTGCACTTGTAGTTAGAACGCTGTTTATGTTTTGGATGGCCTGGACGGGACATGTTAACCATGTTGTTGTCTCTGCATTGTGGACTTTAATGGAACGTGTATGTTTTCATCTAAGGACAATGGATCACAATAATCATGTCAAAATTACATCTTAACTTGCAGTTTTGTCGCATTTTATTGATTTATATTGAAATTACATTCATGAATAGACTAGATACTAAGGTCGTTGAAGTCGGGCTTGAATTATTTAATTATTTATTTAGCCCCCACCCCACAATGTTTCAGGAAGTCAAGATATCGATAGATTGAATCTACAAAGTCCAGTCTGTACTCACAAGACCGCGATTCCCAACTGGAAGAAAGTAGGTCAGTCAAGTCATTTGTGATGATAGCCATCTCTGGCCGGCTTTAACGTGACATTAGGTTACTACATGGGACGTGCCTGGCTAAATTATCAAAGCGTCTTAACATATTTTTCTACTTTCAGCCTCTCTTAAATTTCCTGCCCTTATTACTTTTCGGTGCATAAATATGCACAGCTCGATGAATGAGTGCAAAAGAAGATTAGAGATTGCTTGAAAGGATCCAAAGAAAACGGGAGATGTTGATGGAAGGGAAACATGGGAGGAGGGGGGGGGGGGGGAGGTAAAGAAGGCCTTATTCATAATTCATTTCAGGCATAATGGCCTCGTTGGCCCGAAGAACTGCAGGTATAGTGAAGAAACCTAATCCCTGGTAACCCAAATCCAGGCCAGAGACACAGCCCAGTCTCCAAGATAAGATCTCTACATGACACCATGTAGTGTACACGCACGGATTCTACAGCCTATTTGCTCTCTGTGGACTGCACATCTCTCTTTCAAAAAGACAGCTAACCTCTCACCTTACAATGTTCACGCTAACATTGGCCGCTCATTTAATTGCAATACAAACAACATCCCTTTCCCCCTGATGACTCAGTCTAAAGTACATTTCCCACCGCTCTCTCTATCTGGTAGCTGTCAGAAAATGAAAAGAAAGCAGTCAATTTTCTCAGAGGCGACTAGAATACTCCCCACAGACGAACACCAAAGACTTTTGGGCCGCTAAGATGTTACTGCTGCCATTGTGGTTAGCACACTGTGTATCTTTTGCGTGTCCTGGCCGGGACATGGCCAGCTTGCTTTTTTTGGCTGTTTGGGCATGATGAGTGCACTAATAGTAGCAGCGCGGAGTTAAAAAAAAAAAAAAGGAGCTGGGACTCAACTACTGTTCTGAGGGCTGTGGGTGATTATAATTATGGGTACACGTATTATTAGCTGCTATTTCTTGTTTGTGTCACTGCCGGGCCCTGCTGCATGTAGTTTTTACATTTCGTGTGTTTGTGTCTGTCTTCTGGAGTGTGGTTGTGGGGGAAAAATATATATTTTTATTCAACTGTGTTACACATCATATGGCAGCTGTAGTAAGCAATAATGTTTTTGCAGGGACGCTACTTTATATTGTTGAGTCTTTTACTGCAGCTGATATGACTGTGACTAATGAAAATACAATTAACCATGACCTCTTAATATTCACTCTCTTGATATTAAAAGATCCATCAATTCGTTTTTCTACCGATTGTCCTGTTCAGGGTTACGGATGAGCTTGAACAGGCACAACTATATACTCTCACTTTCACACTTGTGGGTATTTCGAGTCTTCACTTGACCAAATGCACATGGTTTGGAGTAAACTGGAGGCCCCAGAGATAAATTCAAAGACAAGATTTGAACCCAGACATGCTAACCACATGCTGTAAATCTGGGCTGTCTGGGCCACTTCTAACACCGCTGATAGACAAACCTTCAAGCATGCGGCAGACATTTTCTGGAACCACAATGATGATTATACTGTATATTTGTGTGCATGCGTATATATCAGTGCGTGTGTGCGTTTTTGTGAGAAAAAGATGGATGATGCGGTTTTAAAAGATGCCGTGTGCCTTGGTAAGTGAAAGGGAGCTGTGTATATCATTGTGTCCATCCAAGGCGTAGACCAGGGTTATGCTTCCTGTATATTCCTAACTCTTGACCATGGGGTGAACCTTGACTCCAACACAGGAAAACAAACAGCATTCCTCTTCTTGCCCCCCATGCATCATCTTGGATGTGATATTGTTGGGACTGTCAAACTCGTTAGCCTGAAATTTTACCATTATAGGAAACGGCTAATAACTAATGTCTGCAAGCAGGGCTGCACAATACTTTGTAATTATTGTGAGCCTGCCTAAATTGCTACATGAAAAAAAATCGTATTTCTTTCATTAGAGTATGACAATTTCATTTCTTTAGTGTATGTTAATCATTGCGATGTTCAACAGCCATATTGTACATCGTATGTTTGTCGACACTTTCCATCGTGTATTACTGAATATGTGATATCTTCTGTAATCATTTTTAATTTAATTAACTTTTTAATAATGAACTAGTAAAAAACATGCCTCGGGCAGCTCAAAGAAATAATCCAAGTCTTGTTTTGCAATTTCCACACAGTCCAATTAACAGATGCGTTCTGTTCTCTTCTTGTATGTTACAGTTCCCTGAGTGTGGCTTCTATGGTATCTATGATAAGATTTTGCTGTTTAAGCACGACACATCAACCAGTAACATCCTGCAGCTGGTGAAAACTGCAGGTGATATTCAGGAGGGAGATCTGGTGGAGGTGGTGCTTTCTGGTAAGTAGCAAAAAAAAAAAAAGAATTATATGTTTAGCCCTTATCATTGCTACATGAAAAAAAATCGTATTTCTTTCATTAGAGTATGACAATTTCATTTCTTTAGTGTATGTTAATCATTGCGATGTTCAACAGCCATATTGTACATCGTATGTTTGTCGACACTTTCCATCGTGTATTACTGAATATGTGATATCTTCTGTAATCATTTTTAATTTAATTAACTTTTTAATAATGAACTAGTAAAAAACATGCCTCGGGCAGCTCAAAGAAATAATCCAAGTCTTGTTTTGCAATTTCCACACAGTCCAATTAACAGATGCGTTCTGTTCTCTTCTTGTATGTTACAGTTCCCTGAGTGTGGCTTCTATGGTATCTATGATAAGATTTTGCTGTTTAAGCACGACACATCAACCAGTAACATCCTGCAGCTGGTGAAAACTGCAGGTGATATTCAGGAGGGAGATCTGGTGGAGGTGGTGCTTTCTGGTAAGTAGCAAAAAAAAAAAAAGAATTATATGTTTAGACCTTATCTATAAATGGATTATTTTTCTTTTAGCGGCAGCCACATCAGAAGATTTCCAGATTCGGCCCCACGCTCTCAACGTACACTCCTATCGGGCCCCTGCCTTTTGCGATCATTGTGGAGAGATGTTGTTTGGACTAGTCAGACAAGGGCTTAAGTGTGATGGTGAGAACACTTTTTTTTTAAATCCGTAAAATGATGTCACAGGATGTAGTCCTCACATTCATCACTCTCCCTTGCTGTAATATTCTCCGGTTCCTTGTTTTGTGGTTCCCCCTGCAGGGTGTGGACTGAACTACCATAAGCGGTGCGCATTCAGCATTCCAAATAACTGTCGAGCTCGGAAGAGACGCTTGTCCACCACCTCCGTGAACAGCAGCCAGTCTCTGCGCCTCTCGACCAGCGAGTCCGCTTACAGCGTCGGGACCACGTCTACCAGCACCGAAGACTCTGGCCTGGTCCGTTCACACACGCAAATGGTACTATTAACCCTTCAAAGGACCCACATGGACATGCTTGGGAATTTAGAATAGTCTGTTCCAAGATGCTTGGTTGTTGTCCAATTTAGAAAATAAAATCTGTGAACAGGGGAATACATTTTAATTTTCTTAACTGTCATGTAACATAAAACCCACTCCATTCTTTAATCTGTGCATTTATATTATCAAAAGCCCCGTAATATTTAAATTAGAGTGATTATTTTTTTAGAATAGGTTAATTATATTTATTATATTTAGTACTTTTTAATGAATTTATCTCCTTAAACAATTCATTAGTTGATTTATTATGAATAATACAATAAATTTATTATTAAATCTCAGAGTTTTACATGTATGTAAGTATAATTACATAATTTATAATGACATTTTTTTCATGAAAAAGAACTATGATTGTTGTTATTATTAAAGCAAAATATTGTCAACTTTTTTTTTTTTTTTAAAGCTCATCTATGAATGACCTGACCTGGCCCATTTGTCTATTTTAAAAGTCAGTTATGGTCCTTCAGCACATAACTTTTCCAAGCTCTGATTCAGAGTCTTCAGTGAACCTACTATGCATGTTTTGCGGATAGGTGAGGACGCTTGAGAAAAACCTTGAACTCACGGGGAGAAAATGCAAATCCCATAGAAGGACAGGAGCCAAGATTCAAACTCCAAAGCTCATTCTGTAACTGGGATGGATGCTCACTGTTAATGTTAAAACATAAAAATAATTCATTATGGATTGAACATCAAGTGATGGATACAATAGCTAAAGTACAGAAGAAGATGAATGTTTATGATGTATGTGCTTTGTAGCCGAGTCTCTTCATGTAAAGAAAAACACACACACACACACACACACACACACACACACACACACACACACACACACACACACATACACAGCCTCAATCCCCTTCTTTCCTCCCTTTTTACAATAGCCTCGGACCCCGAGTGAGGCCCGGCGCTTTTACACGGGCCGACCCGTGCAATTGGACAAGATCCTGATGAGCAAGGTGAAAGTGCCACACACGTTCGCCGTCCACTCGTACACGCGTCCGACAGTGTGCCAGTACTGCAAGCGGCTCCTTCGAGGGATCTTTAGGCAGGGCCTGCAGTGCAAAGGTGAGCAAAAATATAATAGCACACACACACACACACACACACACACACACACACACACACACACACACACACATCACACTATATTTAGGGCTGAAACAATTAATTGAATAATTCAATTACAAAAAAAAAAGTCATAGCAAAATATCTGCCTCGAAGCTTTTTAGCGATTGTTTTTCCGCACGTTCTAATGTTACTTCTTATTCACCCACTACTCTGTGTATAAATGTGGCGCAATGATGGAGAGCTAGCAGGAAAGAGGGCATAAAAGACGAGGCAATGTCCAAAGTTTGGGATATTTCAAACTTAAATAGACAAAGTGCAATGTGTTCACTGAGAAGCAGAACTATCTACTGTACCACAACAGCAACATAATATAAAGATGTCGCTAATTTAATACTGTATAGTCTACCGCCGTTAGTTGGAACATATTGTACTGCGCCCGCAATTGGTCAAGAATAGACACATCCGTCGGTGCACTGTGTTCAACAAAAATAATACTAACCACATTCATACATAAGCATCTATGGCCATGCAAGATGGCTATCAGAGTTAATTAACAGCTCAGCTCTTTGCTGACTCCTGCTTACTCACCAGCGCAGGGCCCCACCTTTTAAAGCCACACACACTCAAAGGCACAGCTATGATAGTGTGGAGCATGGGGGGATGGCAGCCCCAAGGGGACAAAAATACCTGTTCCTCACATGCATGTTTTGTTATTTAATCATGCAAAATTCATTTTTATCCAATTAACCGAGGGAATAATCAGTAGACTAATTGATTTAAAAAAATTTTGATACCAGCAGCTCTCTCAGTATGACATCAATCTTTTTTTTTTCTTCTTTTTTTTTTTTTTTGTCTATTGTTCTCAGACTGCAAGTTCAACTGTCATAAACGGTGTGCATACAAAGTTCCTAATGACTGTCTTGGTGAAACCATCGGAGGTAGGTGAACATGGAGATGTAATCTCTGCTTTGCTAGAATGCTAACCTTGCTCGAGTTAGTAAAACAGTCGCATTTGCATGCTTGTACAAATTAATAACCATCATTATTAAATCTCATCATCTTCTCAGAAACCAGAAATAACAGCCATAAGTCTGCATGCATGCGTGCTGATTGGTTGTCATCCAAATTAAAAAAATATAAAAAATAAATCAGGCATTTGTAGAACACATTTGCACTCAACTCCGTTTACCGTTTTTAATGTTGCCAGATATGTTGAGTCCCACTGCTGACCCTGAGGTGCCCATGGACTACACCAGCGACTATGACGCCTCAGACAAGTCATCTATGGATGACTCGGACGAGTCTTGCAGCATCCCGGGTTCCTTTTCTCCCGAGAGCAACCAGAGTGGAGTCAGTGCAGACCAGAGGTATTCAAAGAGAACATAAAACATTGAGCCTAACTTCATATTCAAATGAACACCTGCATTCGATGCTTCTTCCCAGTGTTTACATTCCACTCATGAGGGTGGTCCAGTCAGTGAGGCAAACAACTCGTCGATCCAGCACAGCTATCAAGGAGGGATGGATGGTTCACTACAGCAATAAGGACACACTGGTATCTTTTTACCTTGACTAAATTATCTCAGTTATGTGGTTCCCTTTTTGTCCTTTCCTGTAGCTTCTTGGTCTTTCTAGTCCTTTTATCTCTGCCAACGTTTGTTTGCTTTTTTTTTTTTTTTATTGGTTAGCAGGACTGTGCCAAAAACACACAACCAATATCTACTACACTATATTTTTCATGCCTCTTGAAAACAAAATCCAGACATACACAGTGGGGGGGGGGTGGTCCATCTAGAACGTGTACCATTTGGTGGTGAGCTACTTGACAATCATACAACCTTGGCAGAGGTTTGCACTGGATTTCTCATTCTAGTTTTTACTTACAGTATTTTCTTTTCTATCTTGCTGCACCGCTAACGCTTGGTCGGTCATCTCTCTCTTTTTTTCTTTCTTCTTTCTTGTCACTCTTAATTTCTCCACCTCCTAGCCTTCCTATCACCTGGCCATTCTTCTTCTTCTCTTCCTCCTAGACGTCAAGTGTCAAACTTTCCCACTCCTCCTCTGACATATCCTCTTGGTGCGCTACCCTAACAGAGAAAGAGACACTACTGGCGTCTGGACTGTAAGTGCATCATCCTTTTCCAGAACAACACCTCAAACAAATACTACAAGGTAAGTCCAGATTGCTCAATTGCATTGTAGAATGTCACAATTCTTGTATACCACCATTGTTTTGTGTCATCCTGGATCTTCCATGCAGGAGATCCCTCTATCTGAAATCCTGGAGGTGCGACCTGCTGGCAACTTCACCTTGGTACCCTCCGGTACAAACGCGCATTGCTTCGAGATCATCACGGGCACCATGTGCTACTTTGTGGGGGAGGACTCCAACACCCCTGCCCCCCTGTCCCCTCATGCCCTCCCCCAGCCACCTCCATCCCCTAGCCTAGTGGCACCCAACAGTGGCATTGGGCGTGAGGTGGCCAAGGCGTGGGAGAGCGCCATCCGTCAGGCCCTCATGCCGGTCATCTTCCAGGATGCCCCTCCAGCGGAGGGAAACGCCACTCACAGTGAGTCACGCCTCCACTGCGGTACTTTTGTCAAGAAAAGATTTGGTTGTTGCTGATTTTGGCAAATGCATGTATTTACACTTTGTACCTGCATATACAGTAATACAGGGTCTCCTAAAAGTCACTCTACCGTGCACTTCTTTTATTCTATTTCAATTCAGGTATTATTCTTGCATGTGACATTTGACAGCGCAAGTTTTGCAGTATTTATAAGCCTTGCTCTGTTTTTTTGTTCCCTACTGCTTGCTGTTCAGCGCCAATTTGAAAAGCTTTATGGCCGTCACACTGCTCCAACACAATAATAGTACAGTTTGTCCGATACATGACAAGTTTCTCAAAAAAGATCCCCCCGATGTAATTTGGATCAAAATGCTCAACACCTTAAAGTTGGTACAGATAAGGCTTTATAACTCTCTGAAGCATCTACCAACTCAAGGCTTTGTAGATGCAGAGTTCCATTGGATCCCGATTAGACTTGGCGTGAACCCCTGCTGCAGTAATTTGGTGTTTTCTTTAGTGGTGGTAGTAGCATCTACTGGGTGGTTTTACAAAAACTGATCTTGTTTTGAGAAACTTGCTATGCATAGCCTAATTTGGAGCAGTGTGAAATCCAAGAAGCTTCTCAAACTGGCACTGAACTGCAGCCAGGAACAGAAAAACGTCATCCCACCTGGCAAGTTTGCAGTGCTGCCTCAGTGTCAATTGGCGAGACATAAGCAAAGGAATCATATGCTTCCAAAAATTGCAACGCCTCATGTCAGTCTGAATGACACCTGAAACGAAATAGAAAAGGTGAAGTGTATAAAGACTTTTGAGACACCTTGTACTGTATATTTGCATACTGCTAATATTGTAAAGGTATATCAAAACTCCCCCTTCTCAAAGTTTTGGTTTTTTTTTCCCCCATATGTACATCACATAACATGCACATTCCCTCTTTAGGACAAGCCTCCGTAAGCATTTCTGTATCCAACAGTCAAATCCAAGAGAATGTGGTAAGTTGTTTTTTTTTTTTTTTTTGTCCTCAATGTCAGTATCCTCTGGGGGGTGGGGGGTTAAAGACTCATATGAATAAACGAATAATCGCCTACCATATATGGTTGTTAATGCTTTGAATGTGCCCTCCTGCAGGACATTGGAACAGTGTACCAGATATTTGCAGATGAAGTTCTGGGTTCTGGACAATTTGGAGTTGTGTATGGAGGTATGACCCTTGACATGAGCTTTCACGTTTAAAAAAAAAAAAAAAAAAAAAGTCCAGGATGAGTGTGTAAAATAACCAAGCAAATAAACCTCCTACCCTATCAAGTCAAGTTAGTTTTTATTGTCAAATATGCTCTATGTGCAACATCTGTTTGCTAGCTGAAATAGGTACAGTCCTAACTGCCAAATTTTTCCCCTCAGGTAAACACCGGAAGACTGGGAGGGACGTGGCCGTCAAAGTTATTGATAAGCTCCGCTTCCCAACTAAGCAGGAGAGTCAGTTGAGGAACGAAGTTGCCATTCTACAGGTAAACGCAAGCTGCACTGCTTCAAAACACACAATAGAATCTTTGTTGTTGTGTTGTGCCAGTTTGATTGATATTCTTATCAATGCTTCTGTTCACCTATTGTGAGTATAAACAGAAGCGAAAGCCAAATTCAACTTTACCATTACTTAAGAGTCAGTTAGGGCGTTATCTTTGATGCAGGGATGGGCAAATTTAGTGCTCAACGGCTGTGTTTGCCTGATTGGCCAGGTCTTTTGTAAATGAGGTAAAAGCAAATGTGTACACAAAATATCTTCAATATTTAATTGAAATGCATACTAACTGTTTGGCCTATGGCATAATCTCAATTTTATCAGCTCTTGGAATGAAAATGCATTTACTCTAGTCACATAAACATTAAAACTGATGTTCTGATCTTTGTTTTAGACACAACATAGTCAAAATGTTTTGATTAAAAAAAAAAACACTTTTTTTGTAATGTTAAACACTGCTCATATATGACCAGATGGGGGCGACAAAGGCTGATATCTCTCCATTAAAAATTTGTTTAGAATCAATAACTGTCATCCCCTGAAGTTTAGCAGTCATTATCTTCCCCTTGATTGTTGTCACTTATCTGTCCTCTTTGCCAAGATTTATATTCTCCCTCATCAGTGCAATGTGCATCTCAGGCTTACTTAGCCTTGCCTGGTGCCTTCTAAATCACTAAAAACATAATTGGAATCTCTCTTTTCAGAGTTTGCGCCACTTGGGCATCGTAAATCTGGAGTGTATGTTCGAGACCCCGGAGAAGGTGTTTGTTGTCATGGAGAAGCTCCATGGCGACATGCTCGAGATGATCCTCTCCAGCGAGAAAGGTCGACTGCCTGAGAGGCTCACCAAATTTCTCATCACTCAGGTGTGCATGAGCGTCGGCATACATGGAATTGATGTCATTACAAATGCTTGTGTGCGTACTGCTTGTGGTTTTGCTCTCACGGTGTCAGACACGGTGTCAGACATGATGACATTTGAAAATGTGCTTCTATGTGACCTACTTTGCGTGTGTGTGCGTGCGTGCATGTAGATTCTTGCAGCCTTGCGACACCTGCACTTTAAGAACATCGTTCACTGCGATCTCAAACCCGAGAATGTGCTGCTTGCCTCTGCTGATCCTTTTCCCCAGGTAGGAAAACAAGTCGCAAAAACATCCATCAAACAAAATGATTTTCTCTTCTGGTTTTTTTTTGGGACTGCAAATTTATTTTTCGTAATTCGTGGACGTTACAAGAAAGTCACTTAGTCGAGCAGTTATCCTCAACCACTGCGGGAAATGTTGAAATTTCACTTAATTGGACTGAAAATGTTTGTTTGTTCACAGCAAATGATGCATCTTTGTCCGTTTTATCGATGAAAGTGACATAGTGGCGGGCAGAACAATGAAATGGTCTTCTAGTAGATGGCAGAAGGTACACCTAACCTGTGTATCTTTGGCCATTTCTATGACTGAATCATTAGCTTTCTGTTCAACAGGCCCTGAATTCACACTGAGTCATCATTATTTCATCAAATGACGCACATACATAAGAAAGAAGCATTAAAAAGACACGCGCGCGCGCGCACACACACACACACACAGATATGCAGTTTCTAAGATGCTTTTAAAAATAAAGATGAACTAACAGAAGTGTTTATTGGTAGAGTCAATAGTTATTTTGAAATGCCACTGTCTAAAAAAGCCACATCAGGCTGGCATAAAAAAAAAAAAATCATAATATATATATTTGTCTTTAACTAAAAACACCTCAACAACAGGCGTGGCACTTTACAATTATGTTCGATAATATTTAAAAATAATATAATCTGCCTCGCCATTGTTTGGATGAACTGTTTTTTTTTTTTGTTTTTTTTTACACTGAGTAAGTAATATGCTGTGTACATTATTATGTATAAAAGTATTATGCTATTGATATGTTTCTATGTTTGTTTCCTGTATGTAATGATGGATTTGTATTTTGGAATGTATTTGTAGTTTCCGTGAAACTGGAGTGCATACACTGTTACTAAAGTGTTCCTGCCCTATTTCTCCTCTCAGGTAAAACTGTGTGATTTTGGCTTTGCCCGAATCATAGGGGAGAAGTCGTTCCGTCGCTCGGTGGTCGGCACACCGGCCTACCTCGCCCCGGAGGTCCTGCTGAACCAGGGCTACAACCGCTCACTGGACATGTGGTCTGTTGGCGTCATCATGTACGTCAGCCTTAGCGGGACGTTCCCTTTTAATGAGGATGAAGATATCAATGACCAGATACACAACGCTGCCTTCATGTATCCTTCCAACCCATGGAAACAGATCTCCTGCGATGGTAGAAACAGCTGGGGGCGGAGGAGGGTTCATTTTTTGTTGTTGTTGTTGTGTGAGCTTTGTTTATATTATCCCTTTGGTTTCCAGCCATTGATTTGATCAACAACCTGCTGCAAGTCAAGATGAGGAAGCGCTACAGCGTTGACAAGAGTCTCAGCCACGCTTACTTACAGGTAAAAATGCTCCGATCCTACGCACCAATCAAAAGCCGACAGTGCGCCTTATAATCCGATGCTTCTTATATTTGGATCAATATTTTGATTTCTTGGATGTACTATTTTAAATGTTCTTTAAAGCGCCTTGTTACAGCTGCAGCGGTTGTGAAAGCTCTATACAGGTATAAATAAAGCTGTATTGTCTTATATTCCCTTTAGTGTAGCTCCATCTAGTGGATGCATAATGCAACCACAGCCACTATTGTAGCTTCTATTCTATGCGCCTTATCATATAGTGCGCCCTATAGATGAAAAACTGTTTTAAAACAGTCCATTCGTTGAAGGTGTGCTTTATACTCCGAAGCGCCTTATAGTGTGGAAAATACGGTATGGTATGAAAATGCGAAAAACATACTTTAAGAACATTTAGAACAAATATTAAAGGTGTGATTAATTTAAGATTGATCGCGAGTTATGGAAATCATGGAATTAATTACGATTAAAAAAATGTACTACTGAAAGTCATGATAGGTGAATATACTTAATTTCGCTCACAAGTATTTTTCGTAATATTTATTTTTCTTTCGATCTATTCATACAACATTGCATCATCCATCCTTCCATTTTCTAAAGCGCATGTCTTCATGAGGCTGCGGCTGAGCTGGAGCCTATCCCTGCTGACTTTGAACAGTTATTACTGCAAAAACCTACATGAATAAACATATTCTAAAAGCTACAAAATGTGATCATGACTGGGATGAACGTCAAGTGATGATTGATGAGAACAAAAATTGTCTCGGGTCATTCAAGTTCTTATCGACACACCCTCACTCAGACGGCCTCGAATGTGCTGGTTAAATGACGCACTAAAAGCCCTTTTCAACTTTTGATCAAATTCCAATGAAACTCAATCTCCGTTGTCTCGTCCCTCTCAGGACTATCAGACATGGCTGGACCTGCGAGAGCTGGAGACCAAGCTGGGTGAGCGTTACATCACCCACGAAAGCGACGACAGCCGCTGGCAATCGTTCGCTCACCAGTACACTCTGACGTACCCCGCTCACCTCGTGGCCCAACCTCCCGCGCCCGCCTCGGACGACGAAGAGGGCAAAGAAGACACGGAAGTGCAAGTCCTCACTGAGCGGGTCAGCATTCTCTGAAGGTCCACAAGGTGTGTTAGGACCAAGTTGTTCTCCTAACAGTGTTTACACAGTCATCACCGTTATCAGCCGTATGACAGCACTTCATTTGTCAAGTCCAATTTTCTCCAAGCAGCCTCATTCAAATCATCTGCTTTTGAAATTGCTTTTTGAAATGTTACTTTTTTTTTGTTCATAAAGTTATGCGAATCTATGCTCGTAACCAGCCAAATAAATCAACAAAAAGTAGTACAATTTTGGTATGGGATCAATATCACGATAAAGTGCCTTTGGTGACCTCATCAGAATGACTCCGTCGTCATGAAAATGTAGCGGGATAATGAAACTCTTAGATTTCATAAAATAACAAAACATTTGCACACAAACCAGTACAATGACACATCTCTTAAAATGTGTTTCCTTCATTTACATTTTTTTTTCTTCAAATTGGATGTATGTGATTTTGTAATTTCCCACACACTGCACTGCTAGCTACGCCGTTTGTAGTCAGTGGTTAAATGATACTCAATCAGAAATGTTTACATGGCTTTCTCGTGCGCAACAAATTATTTGATGAAACCAGTCATTTTGATCAACATCTCCTATTTTCATCATCATATAGCTGCCCACTCTGCCATTATGGAGTAATTGCCCCTTTAACAAACCCACTGATGTCTACAGTGACATAGCTGCCGGCATTCGTGTTTCCGCAATGGAGCCTGAAACGGCTACTGTACAGTAAATATTTCCACTTATGTTTCAGAATTTTCGTATTACGATTGTCGTTGAATGTTGTGAAGCTTAACATGTCTGTCGTAGTGAAATATCAACTGATATTGAGACCATTCAGAAATGTCATGACGACTACATTACAAATGCTTCTGACCTGAATCCTGTTGCTAAATTTGAGTCACACATGAATGAAGTCCAGTTCAGGTTTTTGGGTGGGGTTAAATCCGATCTTATTTTGTAAGTCATTCACCACATTACAAAAACAAATGCAACTTGTAATATGAACGGAATGTGTGTTTACAGAAGCAAATATGGTGCCACATTTCTGGTAGTTTAAGGATTTCGTGGTTGGACTGACCAGTCTCCCCATATATTTATCAGTTTCTGATGTTTGATGACGTATCGGTCGAATCCGCTCGAAATCAGCATTCAGACTGCAGTCGCCTCGGTTACTTAACCAGTTAACTTATACGTGCGAAAGCATTTTCGGAATTGTACCGTTCACAGACACACGAAAGAAAATCTGATAAACAGCTCACACTTTATGGGCAAAACAAATCAGAGTTGACCCGGAGGATGAACAAAGCCAAAGTGAAGGTCCGCCATGTGCTCATTTCATGCTAACATTAGCAAAAGAGCTCACATCTTCTGTTGTTTGCATGTACATCGTCTGCTTGCAGATAAAGGTTGGGAAGTTTGACCTAGGGTGCGTTTCTAACAGTATGTCATCGACTGAAAATGAAGATTCAATGGAAAATCTCGTTTGGTTTGGTGAAAGGCGGAAGTCTCAAAGGCACCTTATGGTGATATTGACTCATGGGAAAAAAAAAAAAAAAGAATAAACGCGGAAGTCTCAAAGGCACACCTTATTGTGATATTGACTCATGGGAAAAAAAAAAAAAGAATATCTTCCCATCAGTTTGCTCCATAAAAAGAAACATTTGCATTGTGAAACACAGTGCCACCTAATGGTCAAAAATAGCAATTGCATGATTTGATGAGGCGCTTTGAAGTGACTCAAGATTTGCGTGTGTTGTGGTCATTTCCTGTGCAACTGGAAGTATTGATTGGGTGACAACACGTCTTCCTGTAATTAATACAAACCACAATCATAACACTCTTTGGAAACTTCAAACGTTTCTGCCAGGAAGCAGGCGGGCAGTGCTTGCAGTGAATTTTTTTTCCCATTTTCCGTCACCGTTTAAATGGCATTCTATGTACACGTGCGCGAGAACACGCCTTCCCTCTGTTGTGGTAAGGATCTATCTTTTGTGGCGGGAATGTAACTTGATTATCTATTATCTGCCATGCCGATGGGTTGCATGTTTGCATAGCGTCCAATGATGTCGATTTAGTGTAAAATGTAGTGTTGCTTTTATTATGACAGTCCTCTGCATGTGTACCGTGAGGTTGGTGTAGTGTCCAATTTCTCGACATAAAGTGGATGATGGTGATGATGATGCTAGATTTTGTAGCACAATACAAACCTAGAGAATGACTCTTTTTGTTTTGTCCGTTTTTTTTTCCACTTTCATACAAATGCAAGGGAAGATGACAAATAAACAAACACTACCACAAACAGCTGCCACTGGAAAGTGTTTTGACAAAATAACATGCCTACGCGGTCACCTTAACGGTATCGTGTTTTGGCAGTTGCTCGTTTCTCTTTTTCCTTTCATCAATCAGACACCTGCAGACAACTTTTCAGTATCGAGTCGTTAAGATGTCCTTTTGGCTCAGAGAAGGCTCATTGTGTGCACAAAGAAACCAGTTGTTAATATGTCTGACTATTAAAAAAATAAAAATAAAAATCACACCAACAGAAACAAACTCAATTCTATTTATTCATTCATAGAGCATTTTAGAAACAAGCTGCAGACAGAGTGCTATTCTTAAAGTCAAATTCTGAAAACCAAAAACGGTTAAAACAATAAACCACATTAAACAGCGGAACCCAAAACGACAGCCAAAAAAAAGAGTTTTTAATCACTTTTCTATATTTTAGATGGAAAAGTTAAAGGCCAGGGCGGCCCGGTGATCTAGTGGTTAGTGCGTTGACCTCACAGTGCAGAGGTCGTGGGTTCGATCCCGACTTCTGTGTGGAGTTTGCATGTTCTCCCCGGGCCTGCGTGGGTTTTCTCCAGGTACTCCGGTTTCCTCCCACATTCCAAAAAGATGCGTGGCAAGCTGATTGAACACTCTCAAATTGTCCCTAGGTGTGAGTGTGAGAGCGAATGGTTGTTTGTATCTGTGTGCCCTGCGATTGGCTGGCAACTGGTTCAGGGTGTCCCCCGCCTACTGCCCGAAGACGGCTGGGATAGGCTCCAGCACCCCCCGTGACCCTTGTGAGGATAAAGTGGATCGGAAAATGCATGGTTGGATGGAAGTTAAAGGCCACTTTCAGTGCTTGTTCAACTCGGGTAAACACAATTTGAGCATAACTCGTATAAACGGAGCATATCTTGACTATAACATAAACCCGAAATTAACCCTAACTCATGCATGACCTAACATTACATTCCATGATCAGCGGAAGACAGACGTAGTTGGACAATCATCATTTCATCGCTGGGTGACATCATCAATGAGGTCACTATTCAGACACGACACTGGATGAAATTTTTTTTTGTATAAATGCACAAGCGATAGGATTGTTCCATTTTTGCCAAGAGGAGTAGTTTTGAATCCTCCTTTCAAACAATTGTAATTCTGCTGATGTCCAAGGCATGCACGAGTTCACATACGAGTACTGCCCTCAGAATAATTCTACACACATTTCCTTGGTGCGGGTGACGATTAAGGTTTGTTTCCCATGTGGTGATTAGCACACTTGAGCCCACTCTCGGGCAGTAAGAGCACTCCTGGGCCGCCACTCAAGAGGGCGACCGCCATTGTCGAATGGCTTCCGGCTTGCTTTTTGTGTATCCTCGATGCGCTGCCACTTTTTGTTCTTATGCCTTCAGCGCCTTCTCCAGATGTGCTTCAATCAAAAGGAAATGAGCGGAATCCATACTAAGCGGCCGGGTACAGTCTCAGATGACAACAGAAACATGTCAGTTTTCACATTGTTTTTTGGGGGGTTTTTTTGTTGTTTTTTTTTTTGTCTGACTGTCTAATCTAGTAAACAAAAGCAACATTGCTCTTTGTGTTTTACCTGGATTGGGCAAATGGGTAAAACATCTCTTGTTATCAGTTTAGTAAGAAAAAAGAAGGCCACTCTTTTAAATCTCAGGATTTTAAATTCTGGTAATATGAAGCAATAATATGAAGCATAAACTGAGTCTGTCTTTTTGTGTTTCACGTTTCATGCACCAATAATGATAACATGGTAAACTGCCCACTGTTGTAACCGCTGTACCTGAAAGGGTTAACCCCCCCCCCCCTCCAAAAAAAAAGGTCATCAAGCATTAGTCAAACGAAAGTTAAGTTCACCTTCGGTTCTCTCCCAGCAGCAGTCATAATAGAACAACATGAGGAAGTGACTCAAAGTACACCAACTGCATTATGGCAAGGTCACTTCATCTTTTTCCACTTAAAAACCCAAATTACAAATGCGGTTTCCTGTGACCCGAGCTTTCTTTTAATGTGCACTTATTTACATGAGACACATTTTCTTCTCAAGCCTTTATTGCGTGAATTTCAGCAATTCAATTCCACATGGAGAAAGTGTACAGTTACTTACAGGCGGTACAATTCGCCTTTGATCCAAAGTTGATCAAATTTCATTCGACCGTGCAGGTGCATCTAATATTTTGCTGCGTGTGTTTAGCGCTAAGTAATATCCTCTGAATAGTCCCATTTGTCCACGGTGACCTGAAACACTGCTGCCGTTGTGGATCTCAGCAATTTAATTACACATGGAGAAAGTGTACACAAGTCGCCTTTGATCCAAAGTTGATCAAATTTATTTCGACTGTGCAGGTGCATCTCATATTTTGCTGCGTGTGTTAAACGCTAAGTAATATCCTCTGAATAGTGCCATTTGTCCACGGTGACCTGAAACACTGCTGCCGTGTCCGCCAGACACATGTCAACATATTCTATCCAGAATCCTAACCTATGCCTCTGCCGTACACTAGCCTGTTCCAACTTATCATATTTTCCGCACTAAAAGGCGCACCTAAAAGCCTTTCATTTTCTTAAAAGCTCAAAGCGCGCCTTAAAATCCGATGTGCCTTGTGTGTGGTTATTACGGTAATATGTCACCCCCAAAATGGCTCCTTGCTAGTGACATGCTTACAACGCAGAGTTCAAACTTAAGGCGATCGGGTTACGCATTTGAACACGGAAATAGAGTAGCGGTAAGAGAGTTCAACGTTAACGAGTCAAATGTTATAACTTGCTGTTGGTTAAGCGAACCGTGTCGCTGCTTTATTAATCAAGTTTTACTGACATCTGATCGTTCTGTAGCAACGCCACTCAAAAGCTAAGCTAGGCTGTTGTCGTTTGTTCAAAGCTTCCTTGATATGTGACGTGGATTGCGTCGGCGCTGATTGGTTGAACCACATGCATACGTGCTCACGCTTACGCGCGCAGCAAAAACCAGCAGACTATGGACTGCTGAGGCGCGCTTCACTCGAGTGGCGTTGCTACAGTTCTGTTGGCATTTCCTTGAGCGTTGCCCCATCTAGTGAATGCATTGTAGATTGCGTCCAATAAATGAAAAAAAATTACAAAATAGGCAATTCATTGAAGGTGCGCCTCATAATCCAGTGCGTCTTTTAGTGTGGAAAATACGGTAATCACATCCCTAATGTAACCCTCCCCTCACCTTACCATCCTCCAACCCAGGAAACGGGGCGTCTATCGGGAATCGTGCCAAAATATGTTCATTTTCCCGAACTGCCGGTGTGTTTCTGGGCCGGTCCTGGCCAACGCTTTCTGAATCCGAATTAGCACATTCTCATCAAATATGATCGTACGTCTGCAGTCGTGAGTCATTATGGTTCCAGTAAATGTCAAATATGTGTTCTCTCACACATTGAGTACAAGTTGTCAGAATGTTAGGCCACAAAGTTTCAGTTTCCTGTTGTAGCGTAGCGTACCCCCACCGTTTTCAACCGCTCACTATTTTGCTTCAAGAAACCGAGATGAAGGAAGGTTTGCTGTTGCCTTTCAAATGAAATTTCACCCAACCTGTGTTTGAAGACCAAAAACATTTGAGCAATCTTAAATGGAATTCATTAGTCGGAGCCTCTGATGGGTGATTTAGTTCAGTAATAAGTCATGGGAGTCGTAATAACCGAATAACCCGGCACCTCCCAAATGTGGAATCTTTCTCCTGTGAAACTAAAAACAAAACACGCACACAAGTTGTCCTATAAAGCAGAGTTCGTAATTGTGTGGCATGGTCACAAATGAATCAAACTTTCTTGTTCAATCAGTGTGCCCGTGGAGCCATTTCCTGTCATTTGGCCATTAAAGACACTAAAAGGCTGTGCCTGGCAGCGACCGAGCTTGTCCTTGCACTCAGCCCTAATGAGTTTCCAGAGACTCCATCAACAAACAGTTCCAGGGAAAAAAAAAAAATCTGTTGCTTCAGACCAATGCAAACGTTTCACATGATACCAAACACCACAAGTACTGTAGCCCGTGCTCAGAATGTGGACTTTTTGTTTTGTTTATGAGAACACTCTTGGACTGCAAGTCTGCAGTTGATCCACAAAACGGTCAAGTAAACATCCATGGCAGCTGTGAATCCACAAGAATTCACAAGGCTCTCACCTGACTTACATGCATGCACACACACACGCATACATACACAAATGCCCTTTTACGTCTTTACACAATATTTGAATTTAAAAAAATATCCTGCAACGTTAATTGTTGTATATGAAGTATTTATACAGTGCATATTCACATTTTTTTAATCACATCAACTAATTTAACTGTGGTATTCATTAATTAAAAAAAACCCACAATGTTGGACTGAAAGAAGTTTTGAAGAGTAGTAGATGACATGCTTCACATCACAAAAAAAACAAAACAAAAAAACGCCTCCCACCAATTGGATGCCTCTTTCAGGAAAAATAAAGAAGTTGCAAGCACAAAAATTTAGACCAGTGGTTCTTAACCTTGTGAGAGGTACTGAACCCAACCAGTTCATATGCACATTCACCGAACCCTTCATTCGTGAAAAACAAAAATATGACTTTTTACAAATTCTACAAATTTACAAAGACCTAAAAAAAAAACAGAAAAAAAGGAAATAAAATTTCAAGACTTGAGTAAAAGTTTTGTTTTTAATTGTGCACAAAATGAACCAGGCAGTGATGGGCAAGCGGGCGTGTCATAACTACCGGTAACTGACATGTTGAGTCGGGTGTGTCTTAACCTCCATGGCAGAGGCGACCCCCTGAGACCAATTCACCGAACCCCAAGGGTTCGATCGAACCCGGGTTAAGAACCACTGATTTAGACAAATAAATGCCTCCGCTAATAGATGCTTGATACAGCGTTTGGAAACATTTTCCTCATATGGATTTAATCACTAAGGGGTTACGGGAGGGCTAAAGGATCCCCCCCCCCCCCCCCCCCCTTTATGAATCAGTCTTAGCACACTCACCTTGAACTCTTGCTGTCCCGACTGAAGCAGTGAGTCATATGTCAAAAATATACCCACCTGTTTCCAGTTTCAAAACGTAAGACACAACACTACCGTGTGACGCGATAAACGCATTGTAAAATGAATACATTGCTAGCAACAATCATTTTACACCTGCCTGACTGAGAACGTTTTTTTTTCTTTTCTTTCTTTCATTTGCTGTCAGTGTAACTGCCGATTTCCCCTTCGTCAGAATGAAATTACTGTCGTACAGTCCCCGTCACACTCGCCGTCACGCAACTTGATGTCACTTTGTAGCGCTGCTTGAAACGAGGAAGAATTCATTCTTATCACTTGATTGAGGAGTTATATAAAAGCGATTATTGCTACTACTGTGCCCTGCGATTCAGATTCAGAAAACCTGTTTTTATCCCTGTGCAGCAATTTAAGGGAGCTTAGATGACCGATGAAGCCTTCTCCGATGATAGGATGAATGTTTTCGCCTCTCATCGGAGTAGGCTTCATCGGTTCATGCAACAAGGCTTGATTAGGACCGCTGACGTCTTAACTCGGGACAACCGGAACAGTCCGGTTGCGATCGATTCAAGGATGAATGATGATATTCACGAGCATCGCAGGGGAAACATTCCACGATGGGCTCCAGCTTACCCACAACTCTTAACGTGGACAATTATTATTGACAATGGATGGATAAATATATTTTCACGTTTATACAAGTAGCAATGTGAACCAGAGAACATTTTGAGGTTTGAGCTCTCATACCTGTCAACTTTTCGGAGCGCCAACCTGTATAAACTACCAAAAAAATCCTTATAAAGAGCAAAAAATCCTTATAACATACCAAAGCATTTTATATGTCAAAATAACGGCAGAAAAAAACCCCACGAAATATGAATGATATATTTGTTTCCTTGTAGAACTTGCTTGTACACTACCGAAGTATGCAATGAATACTCTGCTGTTTTCAACTAGGAACCACGTGATTTCCTGGAAAGTTACCGGAAATGAAAGCATTCGAGTCGATTAGCACCATTCTGGGCAAAAGCAAACGGAACTACCTGTTAGCGGAAAAAAAAACGCGGAAATTTTCAGAATCCGTATGATTTGTGCGATATGGCCATATATATAAGATTCACCACAAAATCCGTATGAACAATGGGTAAACCGTATAAGTTGACAGGTATGAGCTCTGCCTTCCTTTGAAGAGGAAAAACCTTTTTTAATATGACCGTTTGTATTGAATCTCATCAGAAAGTGCAAGTGGTCGTAAAGTTGTGGTCACTCGGAGGCCCATTTACGGGAAGTTAGGTGTCAGTGTGAAACACAATGTGTGATCACATGTCATGTTCTGTCCCCTGCGTAAGTTAAATGTGGCTCACATCTGTTGCAGTCTGGTAGCCTCCCCCACCTACAACACTCATGCAGTATTTCCTCCTCAATACATGCGTGCAAAAAAAAAAAAGGCAGACGTCCCTCCTCTGCATGTGGGCCCTCCCCTCTTTTAGCATTCTCACCTCCACACACTCCTCGCTGACATTTCAAAGCATCTTCCAAAAAGAGATGAGAGACAAAAGCTTATGTACCTCCGATTCCAATCGCGGTATATTTGTGATTTTATGACAACAACCTGGCACTGGGACCTCTTCCAACTCCCGTCCTCGCGCACCCCCTTGGACTTGAATTTTCACTCCCCAGTACTTAGCAGTGAAGACACGTCGACATCCAAACATCAGCAGGTAAGACCCTTACCACTTTTTTTTTTTTTTTGCCTCTAAATGTTTTTTTTCCCAATTATCAGGATTCTCAACGTTTTCCTTGAAATAAATCAACTTCATTTTCATAAGATGACAACTTTTTTTGTGTAATATTGCAACTTTTTTTTCCCACTTGTGTAATGCTTTCTACCCCCTCAAAATTTTATTTTCACCTGGTAACAGTATGATTCTTGATTCTTGTCATTTATTTATTTTTCGTGATGGCCTCCATTTTTTTTTTTTGTTGCGCATATTCGACATTAACTTAAATCTTTTGTGTTTACCACAATGCAGCTTGATGGAACCTACAAGTAAATTTAGATTGAGGTACAATCAAGCCTGAGAGAAACGGTGAAAAGTGTGGTCTTTTTCAGGCCTCGCTTGAGTAATAACACGGCTTAGTTGAGTTTACAACATGAACAAACACATAGTTGGCTCTTATGGACAAGGAGTCAAGTGAAGCTTGGCTAGTAGTTATGAAAAGCAGGCCTAGTCTGCTTTAACTACTGAAAAAAAAGCACTCGAACGCCAGTTAACACTTAAAATATCCTTTGACAGAAAAGGAAATAGGTTATTACACAAAGTGACCTTTTTTTTTTGGCCTTTGAAGGGGATGAGTACTCAGCCGTGGAATAATTTTAGACATCATTTGTCTACAAAACTTTCCAGCCACTTACTCACACAAACACAAACGCACACACACACACAAGAACACGCACGCGTAGCCAAACAAGGGTTTATATTAGCATTTGCTGACAATGGGCAGACTCAAATGGCTTCTCCATTATTGAATTTAGATCAGAGAGAGCATCTCTGGCATGGACCTTAATGGCATTATATGCTTCCTGGCTTTTTGAACACATCTGGAGCAGGCTTGCATGATTTAATACCGAGAAATGTTTTAAGATCTGTGTATAACTTTTATGAGACCCTCACCTAAAAAAAAAAATCAGGATCACAATTAATATTTACAGTAAAATAGTAGCAATAAAATAAAAAACAATGTTGGAGATGATTTGATAGTTAGCAGTAGCCATTAGAAGCACAGAGTGTGGCTACCAGTGATTGGTGGAGAACCAGGAAGTGAGTAGGATGGCATGAGTGCACACTTCAGCATTGAGATGTGATACTAGATGTAATACTGTCATGCAATAAGAAAAATAATGTTCTCACTAAGCGGTGTAATAGGTAGCTATTGTTCCGCACACAAGCTTATTTTGAACCAATTTTTAACAAAACAGGTTTACGTAAATTCATCTAACCCTAACGGCAGTCGACCCCCGCTATTCGTGAAGGAAAGGGACCAGGCCAGCAAGTGAAAAATTAATTAATTCAAAAAAATTCAACCCCGCAAATAATTGGATGTACATTTTCCATGGAAAAAAGAGGGGATGAAAAACAAACAAACAAAAACCCTAAAAAAATAAATAAATTGAAAAAAAAATCTGTGAATATGTGAATTTGCAAGTGCTCAACCGTATGTGTGCTCCGAACTGTATTTGGTGTCGATATTGTCCCCCCCCCCCCCCCCCAAAAAAATCCTTGGGGGTGAAATGATCAGGTACAAAATGGACACCTTTGTGCCAAACAACTGGCTTGTTGATGAGGCCCAAATCCAGAGAGGCCCCCAGATGACTGCGTGGAGGACACCCCGACGCATGCTCACCTGACCTGATTTTCCATAACACTGAAACCATAGTCGTGCCTTGGAGATACGAGTGACCCAATATTTTTAAGATAAAATCTATCTTTCAGATGATTGATGGCCTTGACCCGCAAGTGCAAAAAGATGCGAGTGTTGTGTGGTGGCAGTCTCAGATAGAATGAGTAAATATTCTTCTCAAAAGAAGCTTCAAGCTGTTTATCGCTTCTTGCAGTTGAAATTTACTGTCAAAAGAGAATCACACATGTATTTAAAACAAGCCTTTATTCTTCTATCTGGAGGCTAATGCTAACATAAGCAATGGTTAGCAGCTTTGTGTCTGTGCTATCACCATTTCAGCGATGAATATTTGAACACAAGCATTGCAGCAACATATGTAGACAGACAATATTACAGTACTCAGACATAGGCATAGATCATTTCAATTGAGAGAAATGTAGTATTATGAATTACATGTGCATTGAAGGAATGAATTAAACTTGTATCTGGGTGCTACTCAGTTATGCTTGCAGACATCTTGGATTACGTGATTCTTGTCTTTGGAATATCCTGCCCAGGAAGTGGCACAGATTAACATCTGGGTAGAGTTTGTATAGCAACTTCCCTTTACTTCATGATTCTCTGACTGTGCATCTCTAATGCTCATAAGCGACTTAAGTCGGTGATTGATTCATTTAGTGCTGCGCGGTCCTTAATGTGCTTTGCTCAAGCAAGACTTGCACGATCACCCGCTTCTGAATATATTATTTGCTGAGGCTGCAGCCGCTCTCTGGGAGTTCATGTAAAGAAGTATTAAGAAGATTAGTCAGGGTTCAAGTCAATGTTCTTCTCAATGAACAGACAAAAAGTCTTCCCAGAAAACTGGAAGCTGCAGTACAGCTGCAAAGTTGGAAAAAGAACGTGGAGGTTAGCAGTCAGAAAGAAAATGAACGTTAGTTCAGTGGAATCAAATGTAGAAGAAACAAATGTTAATTCCACTCCATATTTTTTTGGTTTGTTTTTTATTTCAAGAAAGAACTTGATCAAAGTATTATCGAAAAACAATGCAACTTAAAAAATGATTCGTTTACTTCCTGATTCATTCACACTTACAGCAATTTAATAATTTTCCTCTTTGCACGTACCGAGGCCCAACGTGTTTGTCCATGAATTTCTTTTCTTACAGCCTGTCTGTGATCTTTCCATTTGTTTAATATGCAGTTCATCCCAGAGTTTGAGATAAGTGTACTTTTAGATGTCGGATGTGTATCATCTACTCAATGTATCTCAAAATGTCACAAAAGTGGTGTAGATGTGCGAGGAGAAACCTTTTTCATGCCAGTTAAACATCAAACAAAAGACAGTATTTAAAACAGCCTTAAAGTCTACTAGCTCAACACATAATGGCAAATGCCATAGATGGGCTAACGAGTCGTATAGATGGCCTTAAGGAATGGATATTTGAGCACAAAAGCTGCAGCAACACATGTAGACGGATTATACGGCGTAACACAACTAACAGGCCCACTTTGTTTTTCCTCTGCAAAAAAAAACCAAAAAAAAAAACCGCGCAAACTTTTATTTATTTATTTGGTTTGAATCTATTAGTGTCAGGCCAAGTCACACACAGCAGAAGACGTTGCAATAAATTCATCATGATGCCCAAATTGCTTAACTCTTTATTTTTTTTTCTTGAAATATCTCAGTGCTGTGTTTTAAATCACTCCGATAGCATTAAGTGCTATTTTCCTGACTAAAAAACACTTAATAATTTTTATTTTTTTTTTTGCTGGAACGTATTAATGGCATTTCCATCTCATGGCGCCTCTTCACATTCCTTGTGTGATTCTGGCTATCCATCCATTTTCTAATCCGCTTATCCTCACGAGGGTCGGGGACGTGCTGGAATCTATCCCAGCTGCCTTCGGGTACACACTGAACTGCTCGTCAGCCAATCGCTGGTGATTCTGACTAATTGTGTTTTTTTTTTTTTTACTTTTACCCCAGCGATCATGAACGCGACCGGTACAGAAATCCGGACGGCAGTGTGCGTCAAGATTGGTGACAGCATCATTAGCGACCTCCTGATGAGCGTCTACATCCTGGCCTTTATCTTCGGCTTGATCTTCAACATCCTCACCCTGGGCCCCATTTTGCAACAAGTGCGCAGGCAAAACGTCCTGGGCATCTTCTTGCTCAGCCTGTTGCTCTCCGACATCCTTTTCATCTTTACCATGCCCCTCTGGATCAACTACTACCGCCAGGACCATCACTGGCAACTGGGCGTCATGTCGTGCAGCGTGGCCGGCTTCTTCTACTACTCCAACATGTACATCAGCATCTACCTGCTGTGCTGCATCTCGGTGGACCGCTGCCTGGTGGTCACGTACCCCTTGCGCTCCAAAACCCACCGGACGTCGTGCTACGCCTGGGCGCAGTGCGTCAGCATCTACGCGGTGGTCACAGTGCTGCACGTCATGGTGCTGTTCAACGACAACCTCCAAGACGCCCACGACGGCCGAGACGACCGCTGTTACGAGACCTACCCCATGGAGAAACCCGTGGCCCTGTTCAACCTGCTCCGGGTGGGCGTCGGCTTCTTGCTCCCCCTGCTGGTGCTGGCCGTCAGCTACTGGAGGGTGCTGGCGACGGTGGGCCAGAGTCCGGGCCTGAGCGCCCAGGTCAAGCGAAAGGTGCGCCTGCTGTCTTTCGGGGTGATCGGGATCTTCTCCGTTTGCTTCGCGCCGTACCACATCCTGCTGCTCACGCGCTCGCTCATCTTCTACACGCGGCCGCTCGAGAGCTACTGCGAGTTTGAGCAGTGGGTGCACTTCGCCTTCTCGTGTACGCTCGCCTTGTCCAGCCTGAACTGCGTGGTGGACCCCGTGCTCTACGTGCTGGTCAGCAATGGAATTCGGGAGGATGTGAAAGTGTGCTGCAAAAGGAACAAAACCACGCAGACGAACGAGCGCGCACCTTCCAGACACAACACGGCAAAGTTGAATAATCAGATAATATGAACGTCCTCTTTGATATTCTTCTCACTCGGTTCTCCAGTATGAGACAATCAGATCCGTTGAGAGTGACGCATTGCCATATTTGTGCAACCCCCTCGCCACC